ATGCAATCTAGTGAGGTTAGCCAGAGCCTGAAACTGTGGTTAGATCGGGTCCCACGTTCAAAAATCTGGGCGGGGTAGCCAGCGCCCTTTGCCAAAAACTGGTAGGTGAGCCGGTCCCTGACCGCAGTGGTCAAATTCAGATTCTAGACAGTCAGACTGACGGGACGTCTACTGTCACAGGGTGACCAGACCCGCAATAGTCTGGGTGTCCTGGCGAGAGTGCCAAAGGGCTGTCATAATCGAGTAGTGGGTATGATTGGTCCTGACCTGGAGGCAGGTCAAAGGGGCTGTCAAGACAAATGGTTTGACTAGTCCTGGCCTGAGGCGGCCCGAATAAGGTATGTCAGACTGACGGGACGTCTGACGTTCCTAGCCAGTGGTGGGCCGAAATCAAGGCAATCAGTAAATCCTGGGTATGAAGAGCTGTTATGTATTAATTGTTGTTTGTTATTTATTGTTTTATTTATAGGTTTTATTTTAATTTATTGATGCGTGACTGCTAGTTGTCAGAGGGTCTGCTTGCTGGGGCATGGTTGTTGTCTGTGGGACTTGTTGGTTTTGCAGGTATGCAAATACTTATCTGAAGTTCCCAGACCAGAGAAAAGAAAAAGGGTTTGGTATCCTCTCCCTTTTGTCTGAGAAGTTGAGGAGACGTCTCACTCAGACCAGAGAAAGAAAACAAGGGTTTGGTATCCCCATCAGGTGCCCGAGAGGCTGAGACATTTCACTCAGATCAGGGGACAGAAAAAGAGGGTTTGGTATACCCTATTCCGAGCATGGCAGACAGAGTGAGTACCCTCGTTACTGGGGTCATCCTTAGCATGAATGCCTGAACAAGAGCTGAGGTAACCTCCATGTGAGAAGGCTAATAGTTGAATAAGTCAAACATTCAGACAGAATCCTTCTTAAAATTTTATTTGGTGGCCGACAAGCGGCCTGGTTCACGAGGAACCTGCATCCTTGGCCTTAAGGAAGCCAAACTCTCAGGCCTAGGACGCTATGGAGTGGACAGTGAGCCGAAAATTTTGTGAGCCGAAATCAGACTCAAAAAGCTGAAAAGAAATCGCGCTTATATAAGACATAAAAGACAGCCATGAGCTCAAGCTGGAAAAGGAAGAGAAGAAAGAAGATGCTGAAAAGAACACAGTGACTGGGATGATGGGGTGATGAGACAGTACATGGAACAGAGAGGGGCGGAACGGGCACTATCGCCTTGCTTACGGCAGGGGKGGAAGGAGCTCTGGGGATATAAGGAGGAGAAGAGGCGCTAGGAGTACCATAGCGCGCGTCGAACTTCTTGCGAAGGAACTCCATCCTGTCTGGTGATGGAGTTCTCTCGTACCACCCTCCTAACGGGTAGCGAGGGTGTGGCCTTAAACGGCCATAGCCTGGCGGCTCCTCATCTTCCTCCTCCTCTGAGCTATAATCCCGCCGTGCCCTGGCTGGCGGTTCTTCCTTTGCTTTCCCTCCTCTTCCTCCCCTACCTCTACCCTATCCACGGCGTGCCTCAGGCATGATGTAAAGCAAAGTAGCAAAAGATAAAAGACAGAGGATCTATCTTCAGGGACTACGACTGAGAATACTATACGGGTGAGATTTATAAAGACAAGACTATAAATGCACCGACTGTGAAGAATTATGGTACACTGCCTGGGAAAGAAGAAGAGCGCTAAGAGGAAAAGGTAGGTATTAAGTGAGAAGATAGTTGTTGAGCAGGGAAGAAAGCTCGGAAAAAGAAAGGTTAGTGAAGAGAGGAGGTAGGTGCAAGGAAGAGAGGAAACTAGCACCGAGGCGCAAAGAGAGAAGGCCAGATTACAAAGTGAGAACGAGCGCTGGAGTGATTACAAAGTGAGAATGAGCTCTGGAGGAGAGTGCAACCATAAAAGGGAAGACGAAAGCAGAAAAAGAAAGCAAGCGCTATGAGAGAAGCTTAGCGCAGAGAGATGGCTAGTGCAAAAAGAAAAGGGTGAACGCTAAGAGAGCGGGCGAGCGCAGAGAGGGGGCTAGCGCAGAGAGAAAAGGCGAGCACGACGTAAGTTTGGCAAGCGGGGTTGGTGCAAAAGTACACCGCGAGCTCCTTGAGAAGTCATGGCAGAAGTGAGTGAGGCCACACTAATCCGTGCCGCTCTTATATTAATAACATGGTGCGTATTGACCCAACGGGGACGCTGGGTGGGGATTTGGTATTATGTCGGAGGGCACGACTTCTCAGCCCTCCTCTGTGGACCAAGCCCTGCTTGGCACCAGTTCTTGTACCAGCTCCCCGAGCTGATGTTCCGGCCTGTAGATATACCCTGGACCCCTGTTGTTCCTAGCATCCAAGTTGTGCCTTGGTATGGACCAGCCCCAGTGGCAGTACCCCCGACAAAAAGGGGTGCGCCACAGAACTTCCGTTGGTCCACGCAGGCTCAGCGCCCTGCTGTACAGCAGCGCACGACCGGCCTGTGACCGTGGTGGCCGCCGGGCTCGCCCTGGGACGCGGAGATGAAGGGGGTGGCGCAGTCTTTTCTACTGCGCGCCGAGTGCCCTGATGCCGAGTTATGGGTAGGATGCATGAGACAGAAAGTCGTTGTCGGAGAAGGAAAGAGGAAAAGAAAATAAAACGCCAAAAATCTAAACCCGCTTTAGTATGGGGAAAATTCAGTGGCCTCGGGTCACTGCGATGCTATGATTTCTTTTCCAAAATTTTGAATTGTCGTTTTCCACCTGAATGATCTGTCACTTCACAGGGAAGGCCGCCAATTCAGGTCTCGGACCGCAACTGTCGTCTCATGGTCTGGGTCTTATCGACCCCTCGTAAAATTGTCTGTACTGGACCTGTTTGTCTGAATCGTGCGGGCCCCGGTGGCCAGGTGAAGAGGCAGATACAGTGAGAACTAAAAAGAAAAGAAAATGGGAAAAGAAAGAAAAGGAACCCCAGATCCGTGTGTGAGCGCGGGGCGCGGTTCAGGCAAGGCTGGTGCACGGAGAGATTTTGTGACGCTACCCTCTCCTTCCTTTACCTTTTTCCTGTGGTTATTATTGTTATTTTATTTTATTATTATTATTTAGTTTTCTAAATTTGATTTTCTACCCGTTGGCTTGTCCTTTCGCGGAAAGCCAACGGTTCGGATTTCGAACCATCTTTTCGTGGCCTAAGTAGGCCGATCTCACGTATACAGTCTGTGGGTGCGCATCGATCTGACATCGCGCGGCAGGACCTCAAAAGGAGGGCGACCCGCGGCCGCATCGGTAGGAGGCCTATCACCCCCTTCATGGAGGGTCATAAGCCCCCTCCTTGCCATCGGACACGGGCACCCAACTGGGATAGACCGAGGGTGCACTAAAAAGGGGGAAAATGCGATCATCGGTTCCCCGTTATGGGACCATAGTGCCGAACTTGTTGCCATATTGTTGGGGTCTAGAACTGTCAAGAGAGAGGCTAGTTAGTGATCGATCGATTGGGTTATAGGCAGAAGTGTTTCTCTGAAAACTATTCAGTTTTAATTTGCAAGTCATTTTGAAAACTGTAAAATTCTTGAAATACTGGTAAAGTCTGAAAATGACTAATCTGAGTCTTTCGTTCAGAACACAGAGGTCAGGTCTATAAAAGGGAGAGGGAGTTGAGATATTGTCTGTGGCCAGTCGACTGGTGATATACAGTCTATAGTGCGAGTTCCGGTGGGAGGTGGTCTGCTATAGGAGGTCTATGGTCTAGTGTTGTGCTGTCTATCAAAGCCGTGTCGAGCGCATCGGCCCCCGCGCGAGCGAGGGCCCTCCCGGCCATGTCACGCAGGAGTTTCTAAACTAAAACATTCATTCAAGAGACAACTCGGGATCGACACATAACATTCTGCGAACCGCCGAGACGGACGCGGTTGCATCCCTCCTTCGCCGGTCTAGCCGGGTGCGCCAGCTATACTTCCCACGATCCCCTACGACAGGATAGGTTTTCGCGGAGCATAAGCTTGCATCCCTAAGGGGCTGTCACCACCCTTAAGGGCGTATCCTACCGAGCTACTGACCCACGTGCGAAAGCTTTTAGATGCAATCACAGAGGTAGGCCAGCCGAGGGCGTTTGCTCGTTTCGCTGTAGTATAGGAGTCGCTTGGTTAACGCCAAGTGGACCCAACGCTGTTCGTCCCCCAAGGCACTGATCTCCTAGGTACGAAGCGGACGTTGGTCGACTAGGATTGTCTCAACCAAGAGTGATACCCTTCATTGATCCTAGTCCCTTAAACATACAGTCAAACGAAAGTTACGACAACCATACATATAATTATATCAAAAGGAATCGACCGTAGCCGACACAAATAAATATTCCTAGTATGAAAAGATAACTGAAGAAAAAAATACAAATCATCATCTCATATATCCAATAACACAAGATCAAAAATTATCCGACCGCCTCAAGTCGAGTACAACAAAACAATCAAAACAACTGCAAACGAAAAGTTGGCTAATCGAAAATAACATTGATGTTGCCAACACGGTAGTCGGACAACCTCTGTTTTGACTTGATGAGACGCGTTGCCAAAGTCATTCATTCCATCCTATCGCCGATCTAAGATTCAACGCGCATGACAAACCGCTTCCGCATGATTCTTGATCAGGGGCATTGTTTGACATGAAGCATGCCTCTTCTTCTAAGAAGTGGTTTGAGGTACTCCTCCTCCTCCTCGTCCGAGTACAAAACTCGGATCTCAGAAGTCGGGCCGTCTCCACCGAATAGGCAAGTAACCCCCCGTAGAACGGTCCACTCTGGGTCGATAACAGGGTCGGCTCCTGAAGCAACGAACCCCCGCCCCAGATGCTTCCTAGAGATAGTGGATGCGTCCACCGCGAGTAGCTTTCATATATTTATTTATTTTTCCTAAGTCCCGGGGTAACTTAAACGAAAAGAAATCAGAAGAGATAAAGAAAATGAAAATCATTTAGACAGGTACAGGTAGATAAAGGTCGTGCAGGATAGAATGGGTCAATCCTTGGGAAAAAGCTAAACCCGTTTGACCTTTTCTGCTTTATTTCAATAGAATTCATTCTACGACACACGTTGAATAACATTTTTTCAAAACAACTTCTTTTTGACAAGCAGACAGGTGAAAGGTTGAAAGAAGACAATCCATTCCTTCATCTCAAATAGGCATAATCAATCTCCTTTGTAAGCATCCCTCTACCTACCTGCACAGACCGCAAAGGAAACACGTTCAAAAGAAAACAATACAATCCCGTACTCGAGTCAGACTTTTTCATTCACATGCATGACTTGCACAACGTTCCTCTACCTTTTCTTTTGAATATTCAAAACGAACAGGGTCAAGCAAAGTGCGGGTCCACACAGGCGTGAAAGGAAGTCTGAGTCATTCCACTGACCTTGAGTGAAGTGGCGCCGAAGAAGCGCCCTGGCTCACTCAAGAAAGCCAACCAACAAGTTGTGTGTGTCGCCGAAAGTTGTAGTCTCAAGGAAAATCCTGATCAAACCACCTCTCACTCGCACGCCTCATCCGCGGTAACCCAAGCGTGAAAACGGCGAGTCGCACGTCAGTCCCAACTGGTCCCAAGCGGTCCCAGATGGTCCCACGCGGTTCCAGGTGGTCCCATGCTGTCAAACACTTCGTCGAATGACTATTGAGTCGAAAACCGTTTCCGCCACAGTTATAAAAAAAAAAAAAACCGGTGCCGAATCTCAAAACCGCATGCGTCAAGACTGCCGCAAATGACCGCCCGCGTCCCACGTTAATCCCAACTGAATCCAGACAGTCCCAAGTAGTCCAGTCCCACTGCCGCAAGTGTTGGGTAGTCCCAACTACAAAACATTTATCTCATGTGCCGCATAAAAAAAATAAACCCGCTTGTCACGCTCAGATTTCGTACCGTCGCATGCCGTCAACCGCCACCATGTGACGTTGCTGCTGCCGTACACACCAATGGTAGCAGACCTTCACCAAGAAAAGCAGACGCCGCACCGCAACAAAAAACCTTTCAGCGCCGTAAAAAAAACCTCCACTGCCGCGCCGTACGTCCCACCGCCGTATCGCAGTTCCGCTGCCGTGCCGAACTCTCGTCGGAAAATGGCAGCGCTTCCGCACCACCGTCGAAAAAAACAGAACCGCCGCCGCAAAATTTCAGCAGCGCTTCCGCACCATCGTCGAAAAAAGCCTGCGTCGCCGCTGCAAAAGTTCGGCAACACTTCCGTACCACCGTCGAAAAAAACAGAACCGCCGCCACAAAAATTCGGCGGCGCTTCCGCACCACCGTCGAAAAACCAGAACCGCCGCCGCAAAAAATCTGGTAACACCTCCGTACCACCGTCGAAAAAAACAGAACCGCCGCCGCAAAAATCCGGCAGCGCTTCCGCACCACCATCGAAAAACCAGAACCGCCGCCGCAAAAAATCCGGCAGCACTTCCGCACCACCGTCGAAAAAAGCCTGCGTCGCCGCCGCAAAAGTTCGGCAGCACTTCCGTACCACCGCCGTAAAAAACCTATGCCGCAGCCGCAGAATTTCGGCAGCACTTTCGTACCGCTGCCGTAAAAACCCGTGCCGCCTCCGCAGAATTTCGGCAACACTTCCGTACCGCTGCCGTAAAAACCCGTGCTGCCGCCGCAGAATTTCGGCAGCACTTCCGTACCGCTGCCGTAAAAACCCGTGCCGCCGCCGCAGAATTTCGGCAGCACTTCCGTACCGCTGCCGTAAAAACCCGTGCCGCCGCCGCAGAATTTCGGCAGCACTTGTCGTGCTCCCCATCGCTCCGCTGCCGCTCCAAGTAAATACATAAATAAGTAAATAAAAATTACATAAAAAAGTAATAAAAGATGAATACATAAAAACATACCAATAAATCACCACGCTGCCTCAGAGTCCCACCAGAGACCAGCCTGCCAAGGGGTGGAGCAGAGTGCTCCAGCCAAGGCTATGGCTGTCTCCTCCTTCGTCGCTCCGCTCCTCTGCAGTCCTCCAGCTCCGCCGGCAGCACTCCTGCCTCCTCTCCAGCACTCCAGCAATGAGGCAAGTGTGCTGTCGCACACTGGCAGCCGGAGGCAAGTGTGAGGCAGCTGGGGGACAGCTGCCTCTTTTGTAGTGGCTGAGGAGGGCAGCAGC